CTGGCTTTTTCTCTGATGACTGAATTTTCTTAATATTTTTGTCCTTATATGGCAATGGAGTATATATTCAATATTAACACTGTTGTAATTTAAAACTTTAATAACAATTGTTACCTGACAAAATATATTCCTGACCAGATGACTAGAAACTGTCATAATTTATCCATTTTTAAGAGAGCCATGATAACACCATTCCCCCATTATGTTGTCCATAAAGAAAAAGGGGATAATAAAACACCATGTTCCTAAATGCCCTTTTCTGTTCCCCAAAAACTAGCTAAGTAAAGGGAACACTGGAAGTAGGTCTCATCAGAATGTCTAGACACATATTATCTTGAAGGATACTGGCTGTCTCTCAGGTGTTCAGGTTTTACACATTGTTCTATGGTTGTCTATTCCTAAGGTTTACTATGCATATTTTATAAAGAGGCCATTTGTGTAGCAGATCATCTACCTGAGGATCTAAACCTGTCTATGTTGACAAATCCTCCCTTTTATGTATGGCTACGAACTGTAATAATTTATCTATTCCTAAGTGAGCCATGATTCTTTGAATAGCAATGTGATTGATGATGTTAATATATCTACCTCACATGCAAGTCCTTATAAAAAGAGATCATGCCTCATTATTTGTATTCTCAGCTACTAGTAGAATCCCAAGAACAAAGTATATGTTTAAATAAATTTTTTGCTTGTTTGTTTTGGGTACTGAGGATTGAACCAAGGATTGCCTATTCACTGAGACACATTCCCAGCACCTTTTTTATATTTTATTTAGAGACAGGGTCTCACTGAGTTGCTAAGTGCGTCACTAAGTTGCTGAGGCTGGCTTTGAATTCATGATCCTCTTGCCTCAGTCTCCCAAACTGCTGGGAAAATAAAAGCTTATTGAATGGAAGTAACTTCAAAAATAAAATTTTCCCATTAATCAGCAAAAATAAATATATAATTAAAAGGCTACAAATGGAACACATTTCATAATCTTATGACAAACATTCTATATACTAATCTAATATATAACTTATACTTTAAGCTTGGTTATGTTTACTTTATTGAATAATTTTTAATGTGTAAAATGAAGTTAAAAGTTACTGATGCAAGATAAAATCAACTATTTAAATCTATTTAAATTTAATCTTCAAATGAAAATATCTTTAGATAAAACAAAAACTGCATAATTATTTTTAGGTTAAAAGCATTTAGATAAATTACCAGTAATACTTTACAAAAGAAAAATGAAATTATCTTCTTAATCTTTTAATTGTAAAGGAATAACAGAAATCTCTATTGATTGGTTCTTGATGTTTTTTTTCCCTGCTTACTAGAGTGAGGGGGGACAAAAGATGTGGACTGCTCCTCAATGAGTGATATCCTACATGACAAATCCTCTTTATAGTATCAGAAAAAACAGAAGAGGTCAAATCAAGATATAAATTCCTAGGCAGGCACAGTGGTGCATGCCTGTAATCCCAGCGACTCACAGATTTCATCAATGAAATAAAAGTATTCCTAATCATATATGCAGATTTTAAATGGTTCAATATTTTAAAATTCTACCAACTATAAACTTATTCAACTGTACCTTTGTCAATACCTTATAAAATGCTCCAAATTAGCATTTTACCAAACACAATGAGTAAAATAATTATAGTTACAAGTGACACTTGTTAAATAGTAATTAAACATGTATGTCTCCCACACACATGGTATATACAAATACATACCATGATTTTAGCCAAATGTCATCTAGAAATTACAACTCAAAATGAATTTCTTGAAACTCGGGGATAATACAGTCAAGTCACTGTTTGATCTGTAGCATTCGGGCATGAAAAAGTAAACCACTTATAATTTCCTATTTATCTTTCTTCATGAATAAATAGAAAACATTTCATAATCTGTAACAAACTTTCCATGTTGATCCAAAATATAACTAATACTTTGTTTGATTATGTTTATTTTGTTGAATGAAGTTTAATTTTTTAAATAAGGATATTTTAGGTTGCTACAGACCAAAGCAGAGGAATAAATTGAATATTTTTTGAATATCTTCTATTTCACAGTTATATTCCTAGTTATACATAACACTCAATTATCTAAAAAATGAACATTATTTCTCTCTCAGAGATGAAGAAGCAGAAGCTTCAAGATATTAATTAATTTAAGGCAGAGCTCACAACTGGCAGTGTAAAGTCATTATCTAGACGGTTCTGATTTGCAAAAAAGCTTTAGGATGCTTTTGTTCTACTCCACAGTAACTTGTATTCTATCACCAAAACTACAAAATGTTCAGATTTTATGAGTACCCAAAGACATAATCAAAGAATAATGGTAATTCAAATATAGCTAATCATTAAGAAATATAAAAAAGGTGACAAAGGATTTAAATGACAAGGAAAAAAATGACACAATGTAAAAGCAAATATTATATGCCTCATATTCTACCTCTTAGTATTCCTTTTCTGATTTTTCCATAGATACATTTAAATTTTTAATCTTCTCGAGGCCACTTTTATCTTCTCAGGATGAACAAAGGGAATTTCAGTGCCCAGCTTTGGTTGCAGGCCTTTAGAAATCTTGTGGAAAAAAAAAAATTGTAGCAATATTAAGGGGAAAAATTGTTCGCTCTCTCCCTAGCTACAAAAAACAATCATATTATTTCACATATTTGAAACTAATTTTGACAAACTAGTGAACTGTGACCATTCATAGATGAATTCATCTTATTCTCCTGTTCAGTAGTCTTAAAGGTAGTTTTTTATAACAAAGGAATCTTTTGGGACAATAATTTACACTACCTAGAGATTGTGGTCATATTATAGAATGTAAACCTTTAACATGTGAAATCAAGAAAATAGTCTAATTCTGATTAATGCCCATAATTTGTATTAATTTCCCTATTAATATATTTAGTTAAAATCTTAAAGGTATTAAACACTACTATAAGGTTCCTTTGCAAAATCAAAAGGATCAATTACAGTTTCTACCATGGAAGTATGATAAAACTGTAACTTAAGTGGATTATTTTCTTAAAAACTAAAATGTTTTTGAGCCTTTGTTTATTTTAAATTATCAAAAGTAAAACAAATTTGATCTATTTAAATTCAATCTTCAAATAAAAATATCTTTAGATAAAACAAAAACTGCATAATTATTTTTAGGTTAAAAGCATTTAGATAAATTACCAGTAATACTTTACAAAAGAAAAATGAAATTATCTTCTTAATCTTTTAATTGTAAAGGAATAACCAGAAATCTCTATTGATTTGGTTCTTGATGTTTTTTCTCCCTGCTTATTAGAGTGAGGGGGACCAAAGATGTGGACCTGCTCCTCAATGAGTGATACCCTACAAGACAAATCCTCTTTATAGTATCAGAAAAAACAGAAGAGGTCAAATCAAGATATAAATTCCTAGGCAGGCACAGTGGTGCATGCCTGTAATCCAAGTGGTTCAGGAAGATGGTGAGTCAAAGCCAGCCTCAGCAACGGTGAGGTACTAAGCAACTCAGTGAGACCCTGCTTCTAAATAGAATACAAAATAGGGCTAGGGATGTGGCTCATTTGAATGCCCTTAAATTCAATCCCTGGTACAAAAAAAAAAAAAAGATATAAATTCCTAGAAAATAGTAAGGTGTTTTTTTTTTTTTCCTGAACAAAACTTTTTTTTTAAGTTAAAAACTCATCTTTTATATTTAGACTCAAAATATCTCCTTACATATTACCTGTTAATTACAAAAAACAACAGTAACAAAACAGAAGAGAAAAATACCTATCTAAATGATTAAAATTAATATAGCCAAAAAAGGGCCAACATACTTCCTTAACTTCTATGTACCTGAAGAAACATACCACTGATGTTGTAGCCTAGCCAAAATGGACAAGCTCATTCTACTCACATGGAAAAACCAAACACAAATATAAAATTATTGGCTTATCTTCTTCAAAACATTAACCTCATGTAAGACAAAGACTGGGAAATTGTTCTATGTTTAAAATGACTGAGGAAACCAATAACCAAATATAAAACATGAGCCTAAACTGGATCTGGTACCAGAAAAATCAAAGTTACAAAAAGGGACCTTTGAACAATTGATGAAACTAGAATATGAATTGTAGATAAGCAGTATATCAACTCAAATTTCTTAAATTTATCATTGAACTGCAGTTATATATGAGAATATCTGTGTTCTTCAGAAACGCAACACTAAAGCACTAAGGTACAAAGAATTTTGATGGATGTAATCTCTCAAGTGGTTAAAAATATGTACATGTATATAGGAAAAAGGGGAGAATTATAAGGCAAAAATGTTAAAAGAAGATAAGGAAATTCTATATACTATCCTCAAAACTTTTCTGAAAGTTCAAAATTAATTCAAAATAAAAAATCATCTCAAGAGCAAAAAATGTTAATGTGTGAAGATTTTCACTATAAATAATAAAACAAACATGACAGAATGATGTAATTAGTACAAATGCTTCAAATGGTGATAGGGAGCTTATTTTATCAGAAAGCTTAATCAATATACTACAGTTTTCTTCATTAAAGAAAGCCTAGCTAAAAAAAAAAAGAAAGCTATATACTAAACTGCACAGTGCTATTCTGGCACAACCTAGGAATAGTTTATACACTGTAGTTGCATTTTGAGTAGCAATGGTCTAATATATCATCTTTTTCAATACATCAGTCAATAAATAACTTATTCAACTAAATAAATACTTAAAAATTATACATTTTCATTTGGAAGAACATATACCCATTTATAATATAGTTAACTCTGTGTGGTACAATTGCAGGTGAGTTTATTTTCTTCCTATATTTTCTAGTGTTTCTACAATAAATATGGATTACTTTTCAAAAGCAAAAATAAACATTTAAAAATAATAAGTGAAAGAATTTAAAAGCCATCATATTTCTTAGAATTCAAATTCTATGGCAAGATACATTTTGTCCTAATGTTTATATACTGCCAATTTTTTTTTCTAAAAAGATATCACTTACAGCTGATCTTGAAGCTCCACAATTATATACTCTAATTGTTCCTTCTCTAATTTATGAGCCAGCTCAGAGTCCTCAATCCTTTGAAGTAGTAGTTTATTCTGGGAGACAGATTTAGACAGTTCGTTCTCTCGAAGTTGTAAGAGTTCTTCAAGATACCCCTGGAAATATGATATCACCAAGATAACAGCAACTGTAAAATTCTAATAGAGACCTTGAATATAAATGCTGAGTAGCTTAAATCTCATTACTATTGCTCTTGTAATAAAGTTTTATTGATGAATTAGTAAAAATATTGTTTTAATTGAATACAAAAAATTTAATGCATATTATCCATTCTTTAAACCTCTTCCCTAAAGTCTGAGCAAATATATTTTAAATTTAAAGCAAATCTTAGTTAAAATACTATAATTTCCAAGTTCCACAAAAGCAATAAATACATATGGCTAGCTTCAAAAAACAGACCTAATTACAGAATAACCAATCAGAAAGCTTCCTCTATATGAATTTTTTTTTTTTTGTACTGGGGATTGAACTCAGGGGCACTCAAACACTGAGCCACATCTCCAGCCCTATTTTGTATTTTATTTAGAGACAGGGTCTCACTGAGTTGCTTAGCTCCTGGTGTGTACTGAGGCTGGCTTTGAACTTGCAATCCTCCTGCCTTAGCCTCCCGAACTGCTGGGATTACAGGTGTGCACCACCATGCTGGGCTGAACATTTTTTTTAAATGCAGATATTAACATTTTTAGCATTGACATGTCAGCAAGAGGCAGTATAATGCTTTTGTTAGGCCTACAGGCTTATGGATTGTCCAGTATCATTCTAGTTTTACCAGTTATTAGCTATGGGTTTTGAGCAAGTCACTTAACCTCTCTGTTATAGTTTCATCCCCTAAAAAAGTGGGAACAACATGAGTACCTAGTTAGGAGTACTAAATGAGTAAAATCTGCAAACTGTTTTACAACTGTTTCTACTACATTATACATAATATATAATTATTAGCTATTATTATTAACAAACACCTAGTAGATATGAGACTTAGACCTCTTATCCTTTTACTCATTTACTCTTTTTTGTTATATATTCTGGGAAACATTATTAAATTTATCCTCTAAATTTTTGTGCTGAAATTTTTGAATCAGACATCATTTTAATTTTTAATAGCTCTTTCATGTTTTCTGATTATTCCCTTTGGGGGAGGTATTAAACACTGGGCCCTTCATGCTAAGCATACATTCTACCACTGCCGTGTCCTATTTTTAGTTTCAATGTGCTTTCAACTTCTTCTGAGGATATTGATCAGGATCTTTTCTTTACTGTTTCTATTATTCTTCTAAATCAGTACATGGTATCCTATTCATGTGTCATCAACTGTTTCAGCTCTAAGCTTTATGATACCTGCTAATATTAACTCATATTATTTCCCCCTCACAAACTTATTTTCCATACCTTTTCTGACAATTCTCAAACATTAATTTTTCCATAATAAATTCTCAAAAATTACATCTTCACATAAACTATATTTAAATATTTTCAAATAATATTTAAGGAATAATTATATCTACCGGGCTGGGGATGTGGATCAAGTGGTAGCACGCTCGCCTGGCATGCGTGCGGCCTGGGTTCGGTCCTCAGCACCACATATAAACAAAGATGTTGTGTCCGCCAAAAAATAAATATTAAAAAAAAATTCTCCCCCTCTCTCTCTCTCTCTCTCTCTCTCTCGCTCTAAAAAAAATTATGTCTACCACTCAGATCAATCAGCATGTTTTAAGAGTCAGTGTCAGGTTCTTTTAAAATTACACTCTTCTGGTGGCTGGGGTTATGGCTCAGTGCTTGCCTGGGATGTATGAGGCACAGGGTACAATTCTCAGCACTACACATAAATAAATAAATAAATAAATAGATACATAGATAGATAGATAGATAGATAGAGTCCATCAATGACTAAAAAATATATTTTAAAATTTTTTTTAATTACACTCTTTTGCACCTCCTCTGCACATATAACAATATCCTGAAATTTATATTTATCATCCCTTGCTTTTCTTACTAGGTTTATGACGTATCATCTCAAACAATATATTGTTCAGTTTCCCTGAGTTCTGTCTATATTCTTTTGAAATTTAGGGTTTTTTTTTTTTTTTTTTTGGTCTACATTGATGAGTCTAGCTATATAGTTCATTTATTCTCAATATTGTATGCCATGTGAATTGCCATTTACAGACAATGGTCATTTGGATTAACATAAGCAATACTGCTGTGAATTCATTCACAGTTATGTTTCCTGGTACATACATCCAAGAGTTTCTAGGAAACATGCCTAGGAGCAGAATTGTTAGGACATAGGTAGCAGATAATGTCAAATTGTTTCTTATAATTATTTTTGCTTTATATACATTTCTACCTGATATTATATTCACATGACCTTAAATTACTATTAAAGTTATACTGGATTCACTTAATTCGTTGAAGAATATTATTTCTTTTTCACTTCTCAGAAATAGTCAGTATAAAATCAGGATCGCTGACTTTAGAAAATTTGTTAGAATTTTCTCCAAAACATACAGGTCTGATGATTAATAGGTAGACAGATTTTAGACCATTTACTCAATTCTTAAAATAGTTATAGGTCTATCAATTTTGATAAATAACATTTAAAGAAATTCTTCATTAATGTCATAATTCCTATTTGGTTTAATGTAAAACATACTCCAGTTGTTTCTGTGTTCCCATTTTACAAATAAAGAAGGTGGGAGAAATAGACTCAGAAAAAAAAAAAAAAGAAATTCTTCATTTAGTTTTCTAAGGCATTGATATAAAATGGTAAAAATTATTCTTTTTTGGGGGGGAGTACCAGGGATTAGACCCAGGGGTGTTTAACCGCTAAGTCACATTCCTAACCCTTTTTATTTTTTGAGACAGCGTCTTGCTAAGTTGCTTAGGACCTGACTAAATTGCTGAGGCTGTCTTTGAGCTTGCGATCCTCCTGTCTCAGGCTCCCAAGATGCTCCCAAGATTATACATGTGCACCACCATTTTGGGGCAAGTTTTTGCTGCTTTTGTAGGTATGCTATCTATTTTTTAATTCTTAAAATTGTCTATCTGTGCCTTAACTTTAATAAAAATTATTCCTGCTAAGATTTATCATTTTTGCTAGTTGTTGTAAATAAGCAGTTTTTATTCATCTGTTTTTTATATCTGTTATATTATACGTATCAATTATTTCATTATTTTCCTTTTTTTGAACTGGTTTGGTTTTCTTTGCCTACTGTAAGATACTTATTTTTCTTCCTTATAGTATTTGTACAAGTATCATACAAGTTGCAGCTAACAACTGTTAATATGCATTGTTTTCATTGTCCTTTATTTCTATTTCCTCATTTCTTTTTTACTCATATTTAGAAAGTTTTCAAAAATTCCACTAGGTGATATGTGAGTGGTGTTAAACTTTTTATTGATATCTAACTTTATTGCATTATGATTACCATTATATCATGTTTTTAGTGATATCTATATTGTGATATTTGTATTGTGACCTATACGTTTGATAAAAATTGTTCAGCTATTCCATTTGTGCTTGACAAAAACGTATATTTTGTCAAAATTAATGTATTTTAGATCAAGTTTATGTATTGTTTTGTTCAAGCTTACTATATCTTACAGAAGTTTTGTCTGTTCAATATATAAATTACTTTGAAAGATATTAAAATTACCTAATAAGATTTTGGATTTGTTAATTTCTCTCCTACATATTCTAATTAACTTTTGCTTCATATTTTCCATGGCTATATTATTAAATGTATGTAAATTTAGCCAAGTTATACATTTTCAGTGAGTTTTCATTTTAAAAAGACAATGCCTTTCTTTAATCTTAATAATGCTTTGTACCTTTAATGTCTATGTTTAATGATAATGATACAGACTAAATTGCTGAGGCTGGCCTTGCTGGGCTCCACAAGCTGACAGAATTCTTTTTTTGTGCATGTAGAATAATGGGAATTGAACCCAGGGGCACTCCAACACTGAGGTACATTCCCAGCCTTCCTTATTTTTTATGTTGAGACAGGATCACAGTTGAGCTGCCAAGGCTGGCCTTGAACTTGTGATTCTCTTGCCTCAGCCTTCTGAGTCACTGGTCTGATACAGAATTATTTTGGTTCATATTTGCATGGTTTATTTATTTCCCTAGTTTCAACTTTTTTGTCATTATATTTTATGCATCTTTCTTTTTTAAAAAAATATTTTTTAATTGTAGATGAACCCAGTATCTTTATTTATTTATTTTTATACAGTGCTGAGGATTGAACCCAGTGCATCACACGTGCGAGGCAGGCGTTCTACCACTGAGCAACAGCCCCAGCCCCTTATGCACTTTTCTTATAAACAGCATATAAATTTTATAATTATGTTTTCAACAAATCTGTTTGCCTTAATGGTAAGTTGGTAAGTTTGTGCCACTTACTTTTATGGTGATATTGACTTTTCTGGTTATTACTCAAATCTATTTATACTGCTTTGGTTTTTGTTCTTTTTTTAAAATTATTTTTTAGTTGTAGTTGGACAGAATACCTTTATTTTATTTATTTTTATGTGGTGCTGAGAATCAAACCCAGGGCCTCACAAATGCTAGGTGAGTGCTCTACCACTGAGCCACAACCCCAGCCCCTGGTTTTTGTTCTTTTTTAACATATCCATTTTTTCTTATTTGCTTCCTTTATTGTATGAATCAAGTTTTTCCTATTTTTTTTCTTTCCCATTACTAGTTTGGAAGTCAAACATTCTATTTTTATTCTTTAAATTGCAACTCCTAAATGTTAACTTTGTAAACAGGCATGCACATTACAAAATGTCTCTACCCTTCATTATCATCAAATCTCTGAAGGCTCTTGCTTCCATAATCCTCTTGTTTTTGTTTTTTTTTTTTAAAGTATTTTGGAGGGGAGAGTGAAATCTTTATTATTTATTTATTCAGTTTTATGTGGTGCTGAGAACTGAACCCAGTGCCTCACATGTGTGAGACAAGTGCTCTAGTCCTTCTTGCTTTTTCTGATATTTTTAGCCTTTTAATTTTGCTTTTCTATCATACTTCTAGTGGTAGGCTGCAGCCAGCTCCTATGGGCTCCACAAGCTGATTGTTAAATTTTCAAAAGCTTTCTAAGTCTGCTGTTAAACACTGCTATTATTTAAAATTTTTTTTGTAGTTGTAGATGTACAGAATGCCTTTATTTATTCTATTTATTTATTTTTTATGTGGTGCTGAGGATTGAACCCAGTGCCTCACACATGCTAGGCAGGTGCTCTGCCACTGAGCTGCAGCCCCAGTCCAGCACTGCTATTATTAAAGATAAAACTATATAAACTTACAACTAAGTGAATTATATTACAAAACTCCTCAAAACTCACCATTTCTTAATTATTTTACTGTTAATTTATGTTGTTATAGTCATTTCTGTCTACTTCATCTTTCTGACAGAAATACGACATAATCATGTTCTACTGCACATTTCTTCCCAATTCACATTCAGTAATGTCATACTGGTGGCTCTAAGTTGGCCATGGTAGGAGTTTTTGCCCCAGAAATTGGCAAATCCTACAAATTAGTACTCCTCTCTCCATCTGCTCTGTAAGAGCCAGTTATGAAACATATTCCAGGACACAACTACCATCCTATAATAGTTCTTATTGTTGCTATTTCATGTAGTCCATGTTTATTTACTCTGGCCTTCTAGGTCCAGTTTCTGTTTTGAATGAGATGGTGGGCCTTATCTGTTGCTCCCCTGTGGGTATTAAAGCACAAGTATCTAAATTTAAAGGATTGTAGGCTTATCTCTATCTCTGGGGCTTGCAGGGGTATTAACTAATGTACTTATTCCTCCTGTTTTCACATCCTTGCATGTTTCTGGTCCCTAGTAAGTTCCTTTTCTTTGAGAGAGAGCTCTACGTAAAACTTTAAAAAACAAAACTGTATTCTAAGCTAAGCACAGAGAGACACAACTGTAATATCAGCTACTTAGAAGGCTGAGGCAGAAGGATCACAAGTTTAAGGCGAACGTGAGCAACCTAACAAGCCTCTGTCTCAGAATACAAAATAAAAAGGGCTGGGGATGCGGCTTGATGGTAGAATGCCAGGAGGCTCAAATTTGTATAATAACCGTCATTTTCAGATTTTTACAGAAGAAAAGCTCTCAGATGATCTTAGTCTGTTTTCTTGCTGCCACCAGAAGTTTACTGTAATAGGGTATAAAGTTTTCTTCATATAAATTATGCAAACTTTCATAGCTATTATAATCGTGATATTTTTGCTTATATTTTCTAAGCAGTTGCTGTTTAGATATAGGAAATCTATTTATATTTGTAAATTTATTTTATGACCATTTTCCTGGATATATTTCTAAATTGTTGTAATATTTCTATTTTAATTCCACTGTGTTTTCTCTACATGTGTCACGTAAGAGAATAATGAACATTTGAAAGAAGGGGCAGGGAAAATAAATACTATGGTAAAAAAGTAAAGGTCACAAACTCAAAATAATGTAGTTCATTTTTCTTTCTGTTATATGTTCCACTTTCCCTAATATAGTGTTTGGAAGACAAGATTTGCTAATATACCTAATTAAGAAAAAAGACAGACATACATATGCTTCACAAACCAGTAATGTTTTACAAAATGAATTATAGGGACTATAATATCAAGTTTATAAATTAAATTGCTTACAAAAGAATAAAATGACTTATTTTATGTTAAAACATAAAGATTAGAAAAAGTTTTTAACAAACAAAAGCCTCTCCTACAACTCTGCCTGATTTTTAATTAAGGGGATAATTCAGAAACAGAAGGGAAGTAGCAATGGCACATAATTTATTAAGTTAAAAGGGCTTCTGGTAGTGACAGTCCAAAGGCAATAAGTGGAGCCAAACTGAGTGACTTTTGACAACTGATAAGTACCTTCTGTTCCAGGGTTAGCTGATACTTATGTCTCACTCTCTTACACTTGTTGAACCAGCTGTTCTCATCCATGATGAAAGGAGGCCCCACCTTCTCTGGAGTGCTGCTTCCTGAGCTGCCACTGCTGCCCAGAGTCCTGAGTTCTTCCTCATCGCTGCTGATACTGTCAGAACTGGGACGAGCAGAGGTTAAATTAAAAAAAAGAAAGAAAGTAAAAAATACGTTCTAATTTGATTAATATCTCTATATTTTTAAGCTACTAGTGAGCAAATCCAAAATATTTAGCAGTAAATATATAATAATAATAAAAATAATAAGTACTTTAGTTTCCTTAAAAAAATGGCAAACTAGCATGGCCTGTTGACTCCCTTTCACAAAACCAAATGTAGAGATACTATAATTCAAGTGAGACCTAAAGAGTAAGGAATTAACGTTAAAACCCGTGAGAATGCTCAGAAGAGAAAGAAAGAATTTCCAGAGAAGAGAACCAGAAATTGTAGATGTGCTAGTAGGAGCTTTCTGGCTATGTTCTTTTCCTTGGCTCAGGTGGATCATTGACTGTCTAATCTCCACTACAAGACAGAAAACAAGCACTACCAGCTAGTGGCAATGGGGTACATACAGGGTAGTGTTCAAGGTCAGCTCCCTTTTGGCAAGGAGAAGGTAAGTTCAGAAAAAAACAGTCATTCTCAACTATTTTCTATTGGGAAGACAGAGAGCCAGAGGTAGAGCAGACAGAATATACGTCATAATCCAAATTTAAAATTCTGTAGGACATCAGTATGACAGAGGAACAGAAAATAAAGTGAAAAAATGAGAAAGCAAGTGAAGAGAAATGTGTGTTTATGACTGCCCAATTTAGGCTTTGAAAGAATAACAATGATGCCTACACTTTGTGAAATTTTAAACAGATGAATAGAAGACTGGAAGTCTGCATAGCAATAACATACATCAAGAAAGAAATAGAGCTGAGCATTGTGGCACCTGTAATCCCAGCAACTGGTAAGGCTGAAGCAGGAGGCTCACAAGTTTGAGGTCAGCCTTAGCAATTTAGCAAGACCCTGTCTCAAAATTTAAAAAAATAATAAAAATGAACTGGGTATGTAACTCTGTGGTAAAGTGCCCCTGATTCAATTTCTGGTAGAAAGAAAAAAAGAAAGATTGCTCAAGCAGTGCAAATTCTTCATTTATTTGGATGAATGGTATAGATATTAACCTTAGGTGTTTAAAAAAAATTTTAAATGTTTTAAAATTTAAATCTTCATGTTAAAATTAATGGCGGAACAGTAAAAGAGAAATAGAGAATAAACTAATAGAGGAATAAAATAGGGGGAGGGGAAAATCAATCCAAATAAAGGCAAGAAAGATGAGAGGGAGATTGGAAAAAGAAATACAGAAAACTGAGAAGAGAGAGTAGTATAAATATAAAGCAACATATGCAATAGAAGATATAAGGACAGATATATCAGTAAATATCCTGAGCACCTCACTTAAAAGGCAAAGCCTAGGGGCTGGGCTTATGGCTCAGTGGTAGAGTGCTTCCCTAGCATGCATAAGGTCCTAGGTTCGATCCTCAGCACCACATAAAAATAAATAAGTAAAATAAAGGTATTGTGCCAAACTACAACTAAAAAAAAATGTATTTTTTAAAAAGGCAAAGCCTATTGGAGTAGATTTTTAAAATCCCAAATAGTATCATTTTTTGTTTGTTTGTTTTGTGGTGCTGGGGATCGAACCTCTTATGCATATAAGGCAAGCACTCTACCAACTGAGCTATATCCCCAGCCCCCAAATTGTATTGTTTTTAAAAAACAATTAAAAACTTAAAGACCCAGAAAGGTTGAAAGCACTGTATTTCATAAACTCCTGGTGTTCATTTTTCCACATATTAACATAGCTTAAATCAGGGTACAGCCTGAATCTGATGATATTTAACTATTACTGTCAAGCCATTTGTTTATGTATTAATGTCTGAATTGAGATGCATTTATATTGGAAGGCATGTTAGTCTATATGAAAAAAAGATGTAAGTCTGTAAAAAAGATGAGAATATATAATACTAACTGAAAGAAAATTGATGGAACTCTTTAATATCAAACAAAATAGACTTTAAGAAATAAAAACATCATTACACATGTATAGTTATATTGATAAAAAGGTCATTATATCAAGAAAATTTAAGAATTATAAACTTGTGTGTATCTAATAAGTTTGCTCAAAAAACAGAAAGCAAAAATTAAAACTACCACAAGAAAAACTGACCAATTGAATATCAGAGTGATAAAATTTAGTATATCATATTTTAATTTAAAAGATTAAGCATATATGAGAAAGGACATAGAATATTAGATCATAACTATTAACAAGCATATCTGAATATAAGACCTCATCACCGGAAAACTGATTGATGAATTCTGGACTCAACAAATTTCAAGGAACTATTATTATGCAGACTACATTCATTAATAAAAGCAACAAAAAGCCCTGGAAATCATACTTCAAACAAATCTTGGTAAAAACACACACATACATATATGTATGAAGGTGTTGTACATACATATGTCTATATAAGCATATATACATATATATTTTTGAAATATATATGAAGTAGTATTTTTAAACTGACCTAAAATAAAAACAATTTATCAAGCTTATGAAATATAGCTAAAGGAGGACTTCAAAGAAAATTTACAGTCTATGTACTTAAAAGGAAATTTTTAATTATTGAAAAAGAAAAGATCTTTACAAATTCAGAAAGAATATAGATAAGAATGGAAATTAATGAACTAGAAGGTGATGATACAACAGAGATAAAAAATATTCTTTAAGAAACATGAATAAAACTGACAACCCTTTAACAAAAATGATTTTTTTAAAAAGAGAAAACAAAAATAAAAATTATGAGCCTTAAAAGTAACAAAACTACTAGTTAATGCAGGAGATTTAAGATATTAAAAAGAGATTTCTTTGAACATCATGGTATAAAATTTTGAAAATGTTAATGAAATAATTTACCAAAATTGAATCAGTAAGAAATAGAAAATTGGAATGATCATATGACTACGAATGAAATCAAATCAGTAATTTAAAAAGAACACTTTTCTCAAAGAAAACATGTGTAAATGGTTTTACTGACTGAGCTTCATCGAATATTCAAAAGATGTTGTGTAATTCCAATCAAATTCCTATAGATAACAAAGAAAAAATACTCCTTCAATCTTTCATAGTATCACCAAAATACATTTTTCCCTACATATTTACTTTTTTATTGAACTTGCTAATGTTATAGAGTTCTTGCACTGCCAAACTATGCCAAGTGATCCAAGAGAAATGGTATGATGGACAGTCTTATCCACCCATCATACAGTATATATTAAAACTTGCTACATATGTATTTTGACAATTTCACAATCTTTAAAAAATTAAGAGTTGGAATTTAAATATGCTGCAGGCCTTTAGATTTCCAATACAGTATGCCACTAAATAAAACCTCCTCATATTCATCTTAGTTTCCTTTCTCAATAACATAACTCCCAACAAAATTTTGGGGGATTAAATGTATACTTTTCCAGGATAATACATGGTTACCTGTTAACATTTCTGGTTTCCAAATGAAGTCCTCAGCTTAACCAAGATTCTCTTATTTCTTATTTAATCATCTAACCTCCTGCTGGCTGACTCAGCTTTTCACCCAAATACATCAGAAGCAGGCATCCAACCTGCCACCTCAAAGAATGCTGATATCATTGCCCAGAAGTGGCTGGCAAATCCTGTCAGGAGATCATGTAGCCCTCCTAGGAGTTTAGTTTCTACACTGACTCATCAAGACTGAACTCCTATAGGAAAATGCTCCCTCACCAGGACAGTTTTACTTACCCATTTGCTTCACTCTGGCAGTTGCAGGCTGCATTTTGCAAAGGTATTTATTATAGAGAAACCCAGACCCTGCATCAAGAGGTTACATACCACTAAGAAATATTTCTACTGAACCCAAGATACAAAACTAGGAAACTGCCAGACTACCTCATTAGGTGGAAAGAAACTTTTCAGTAATCCTAGGTGCTTCCTTTAGTCCTTTTAAGGACTCAGTATTACTACTAGGGACCATAAATAAAAACAGAGACATATTTGTAATAAAAGAAAAGGGAAAAGAGAAATAGCCACAGGTAAATGTGGGGTTAAAAAGTCTTGTTTTTAAAATGGGGAATGTAACAACATGCTTATTTGCTGCTGTGATACTATGATATATATATTTTTTGGCTTTTGTCCTGGCTCATAACTTCCACAGCTCTTGTTGTTTCCAAAATGATGAGAACAATAAAGTTAAAGTACCTGGCTTTTTGTCCTTGGCTCCTGAAGCAGTTCTGGAATAGCTTCAGAGTCATAAAGGTGAAAGACAATCTTTTGCTATAATGTCAAGGTACTTTAGGCCTCAGAAACAAATCTTTTTCTCTTTCATCTTTTTCTGCCCTTCTTTCACCTGTGGTAGAAACTAGAATTTCTCTTCCTCAAGGTGGGTCACAGAAACTAAAACTATGCCCTAACTCTGTCCCGTGCCTTTGTCTTAGAGCTTGCCATAAAGTATTTCTCTGATCTGCCTTGTCAGATAATGTCCCCATTTCAGAAAAGGTCTTGCTTCATGTTTCATACCTGGGAGGAACGAATGCTGCAAAGAGAGGCCAAGGAGACTGTGAAGATAGGCCTCACTGGGTTCTCCACTCTGTCAGCATCAGATCATACTCTTTATTCAATTCCATGTCTACATAGCTGGCCATACTTCAAAAATGCCTAAGCAATGATGTCTCCACAAAACTCCACAAGGACAGGGTTTGGAGAGCTTCTGGACGGCAGAGCACATGAAGGCTTACAAGAAGGTAAACGAGAACTTGCCCGAGTGCTCTGGAAGGGTGGTACACCCCACCTCCATGGGGACAGGACAGCTCTCCCAGACCTTGCCTTATGTATGTCTTCATCTGGCTACTTATCCATATCATTTAGAATATCCATTATAATAAGCCAGTAAATTTAAGAAAGTGTTTCCCTGAGTTCTATTAGGCACTCCAGCAAATTTACGGGGCATGAACACAGACAGGATCATGTCTTTCCACTATGTCTTCAGAGTGTAATACGTGGAAAATATAGGAAAGAGGGGTATTTAATGGAAGGGAACAATTGCTGGTATGAGCTCTCTAGAGGGCAATTTTACAGTGTATTTCAAAAGCTTTAATAATAATATTCATTCTCTCTCTCTCTCTCTCTCTCTCTCTCTCTCTCTCTCTCTTCCAGAAATCCCCCTTGTAATCATTTGAATTTAAAGAAATAATCATTGCCTGGGGGTGCACACTGCAATCCCTGCTACTTGGGAGGCTGAGGCAGGATCATTACAAGTTCAAGGCCAGCATGGGATACTTAGTGAGACCTTGTCTCAAAATAAATGAAAAAGGGTTGGGGGTGCAGCTCAGTAACACAGTGCTTTCCTAGCATATGTAAGGTCCTGAGAAGGAAGGAGGGGAATTAAGGGGAAGGGAAGAAGGGGAAATAGAGGGAAGGAGGGAAGAAAGAGAGGGAGGGAAGAAAAAAGGAAGAGAGGGAAAGAGGGCGGAAAGGAGAAAAAAGAAAGAATCATAGATCTATGTAAGAAGGTATACTTGTAAGGATGTTAACTATAATACTGCATATAAAAACAAATAACTGAATATACCCTAAAAGTCCCAAAATAACTGGGCAAACATCCTATATAGACAATGAAATTCTGTTCATTTTAAAAAACAATGTTGTAGAAAGAGAGCTAATGACAAGTAAAACTGTTCACTGTTTAAAGGGAAAAAAATCAGTACACATATATTATATTTAAATTTTTTATTAAGAAAAAAAGTGTATCTATGCATAGAAGAGGCTGGAAAACTATCTCACAAAACATTAACAATGCTTCTAGAAGCTATTTCTTTCTTTTTTTTTTTTTTTTTTTTGGTACTAGGGATTGAATCCAGGCTTTATCCACTGATCCACATCCCCAGCCTTTTTAAAAATATTTTTTATTTAGAGACAGGGTCTTGCTGAATTGCTTATGGCCTCACTAAGTTGCTGAGGCTGGCTTTGAACTTATGATCCTCCTGCCTCAGTCTCCTGAGTCACTGGTATTACAGGCATGCACCATCATGCCCAGCTAGAAGCTATTTCTTGAAGGTAGATAACGGGTGACTTGTTTTCTTTTACCTTTCTGTATTTTCTAATTTTTCTTCAATGAATACATATAACTTTCTAGATAAATTAATTTGGGGTGGAAAGTGAGAATCCGATGATTTTTAAAATTTTTTTAAAATTAGGAACCTAATTGGGTTTGTTTGTTTTTCTTTCTTTTTCTTCTATTTTTTGATTCTAATTATACATAACAGATTTCATTTTGATAACTGTATAAGCATAAAATATATATTATTCTAGTTAGGTTTTTTTCCAAAAAAAAATATGTCTAGGGCAGGAATTTAATTCAGTAGTAGAGTACTTGCATATGTAAGGCCCTGGGTTCAATCCCAGCATAGCAAAAAAACAAAACAAAACAAAACCACCCATATGATATGTTTTAAGTTCTATGTGTTCCTGTTTTATTATTTTTAAATCAGGAAAGTAATGCCTACCTCACTGACTTTAAGGAGTAAATTAATTAACAGAAGTAAAGCTCTTAAAAATGCCCTTTATATATAATAAACATCCAGTAATAATTACTACTATTATTTTGAACTACTAGACATCTTCACAAAATGTACATAATCTAACATATCCCAAAATACTGTAACTGTATGTCTGTTCAAAACATCTTCTTGCTTCTACACTTAATGTACTAGAAGTATCCTGTTTCCCAAAGGATCCACTTACTCGATGAAGATAATTGTCATAATGCACTATTTCTCTTTCTCCCTCCCCATCCAAAATATTGTCAAACACCTAGCTCTGAAATATTAAGTGTTATCTCTCACTAGGTGGTGGTTATCTTGGCTTTTTATGGAAGTATCAAAAATTCACTTATTTTTAATATGTGTCCCTGGCTTCTAGGAAAATGCCTTTCATACATTCTTGAATGTATGTATGTATGCACCCATGTTACATATATACGTTTTATGCACACATATACACACAGAGTAGTTTACAATTTCGCCTTGATTATAACATTTTAGAAGTATATAAAGAATACCATGCTAGCCAGGAGATCAATTTTTCTAGTAGAACTTGGAAATGTGTATATATTTCATCTGATTAATTTCAATGCTATTGTATTTGTGGGAAATCTAGAATGCCTACACAATAATCATAGGAGGATAAATTGGCACAACTTTTTTATAAGCATATTTTTTAAGAGTCAAAATTTTCATTGAATTTTCTTAAAATAAATTTTCTGTTGAAAATTTACAACAGAAACAAAAGGCAAATTGATTTGTACAATGATATTCATTATTCTCTATAAAGGAGATAAAATAGAAAAGTATCTAAATAGTGAATTACAAATTTGAAACTTCACTGGACTACTGCAGAGCAATTTCAGTTATTACTATTACATGGTGATTAAAGCAAAATCAATAAATGCTTTTATATGTAAAAACTATGAGAATTGCAATTATATAAAAATGTGTATTTACATAAATACTAAAAATACAACTGAATTTTATACTCTAGTAATTTCTGATATTGAAACAAATGTTTTATACAAAGTAGTTTAAAACAGATGACTACTGCACAAAACATACAATTATAAAATAAGATGTCAACAACATTTCAAAATGGTAAGTACCTTTGTGTAAACTTCAAATATGGTGTATAGTCTATTACAGCAGGGAAGTTGCCATCTAATCCTTGTCCTTTCAGGCAGAAGCTAAGACGATAAACAATAAATATTTCATATTAATACATAAATATTAAATCAAAGTTAAGTATTACAAATAAGAGACATTTCTTTTATCAAACTTATTATAAATACCTAAAAAAATACTCTACCTTCAATACAATGACAAAGCATTGTACAAGTTAATACCTGTTATATAATTTATCAAGTAGCAACAGTAAAGTTCTTAAACTCTCTGTATTTGACAATATCTTTGTCTTCAGGCTTTCAACATGTCACTAGAGAATTTTCAAATGAGGATTTGCTTTTCACATTCAGATATAAACTCTCCGGTGACAATGTATATTCCTTAAAAAGATCTGATTAGTTAGAAAACAAAGAGTTTCTGAAACTATCCAAATGGTGAAAAAGCTTAGATCTTAGACCTACAAAGGATGCTGAAAGTCCTCCATTCAATTCTTTTGAAATCATAAACAAGAAAAAGATTAGGTGACTTACTGAAAGTTATACTGAGGAGTCTCATAGAGGCAATAAAGGAAATTCTGATCTTTCAGTTACCCAACTGAGTAATGTTTACTTTTATATGATGCACATATAAAAATATAACACAAAAGGTGTTTGGTTTTATTATTACTATTATTAGAAGAAAAAAGTGCATCTTCGAGAAAGATAAATAGGAATGTGTAGATGTAAGTTGATCTGCAAAGGGAAAAAAAATCATCTATAAACTCCCATCTTCCAAAGATTTAAGCCAGGCCAACAACCTGTCATATAAAAAGTTAACATTCTTAAAAGGCCCAAAAAGATAATCTTCCTGCTCCACCATCATATTCATTCTAAGAAAGTGAACTAATTAACTGAATACTTGTTTATTACAAGTACAAATAGAGAAAAACTGGACTTCTTTTATGTCAAATATTTGGAAAAGAGTGATTTACTAGAAAAAGAAAATGGCAGAATTATTTTTTAATTCAAGACTTAAAAGACATTTCAGTCTCTAATTGACAAACACTTTAATGTGTCTAGTATAAGTTGAATACTTGAGAATTAGAATACAGTGCTTTTTAAAGTTTTCTACAATCTAGACTTTATCTAATTCAGACACTGTCTCCCCCATAACTAAGTGAAAAACCTCCAATGTATAACTACCTTCAAGTATGCTTAATGTCTGCAAAGCAAATCTTAACATCTGCTGGATGATTTGTTTGCAAATTTGCCTAGTATTCCTTTGAGAAATTCCAAGCATGATTTGTAACCTCATTATAAAAACAGTGGGAATGAATTTAGTGATATAGTATCTATGAAAGTGCTGAGAGTGCTTGAAAGAATGTGCCATGTTAATCCTGAACATGTGTAAATGGGATGTACATGGCTTTGATCAAATATAAAAGTGTATGAAGGAAAAACCAAGTCATTTCAGTCTTATTTTGTTAATACTCTTGAATTTTCAAATGATATGTATATTTCAATAAAAATATAATGCTTCCTTCATTTGTGTCTTTGAGTTTTCTTGAAGACAAACTTTGATTTAAAATATACATAAAATCTGGGCTTGATTAAAAAAATATAAAAAGATGCTTCCAAGCATCTAGAAAGCACAATGACCATTTTTAGTATTTCGTCTTAATCTGAAACAATTTTATTTGTTGATAAGAAAAGAAAAAATTAACAATATTATTTGATATTCTAAATATATAACACAAGAAATGTAAGATACCCAAGATATCCTGCCAGAATCTTTCTTCCTTTGAGACTACATTTAATGTATTTATTTTCATTTTAAAAGAGTAGCTGAAAAATACTAATATTTGAGCTCTCCCCTCAGTGCTAGTAGGGGACTGGCTTAGGGGGTATAGTCTATAAACTTTCATTTGTCCAAGTTAGAAGGCAAGTCTGTCAGCTCTTAAAATTTGAGAATGTCTCTTTTCTAAGCGCAAACTCATTTGGAAAACTAATGGATTTGAAAGGGAACAACATGAACCAAATATCAACTGTGTGTTTTACTTAGAAAATTGAAAGAAAAAATCGTAAGTAGAAACTCTCATGAGGTAATTTAAAAACTGAATTCAGGGGCTGGGATGTGGCTCAAGCGGTAGCGCGCTTGCCTGGCATGCATGCGGCCCGGGTTCGATCCTCAGCACCACATACAAAGATGTTGTGTCCGCCAATAACTAAAAAATAAATATTAAAATTCTTTAAAAAAAAAAAACTGAATTCAGTTAGTTAAATATTAAGTACCTGAAATCAATAGCATTGAGTCCAAGCAGCATGCCAGCAAGCATATTTGCTTCTTCACCCAAGACAATTGCTCCGTCTTCATAAAATCTCCTAAAAAATGAAGTGAGTCAATATATAAATATTAAAATTTGGTTAAACGCTGATCTAGAGAATCAGAGTCCAAAATAAAGAGCACATTTTTTAAAATTCACATATATAAATACAAATAATTTATACTTATATATATGTATGTGTTTATATATGTGTGTGTATACACACACACACACACACACACTCACACACACATGCATACTTCCATACTTGAAGCTACAGACAAAAAACAAAACAAAACCAAAAATCACCTGTCACCATAATAAAAAGCATTCTCCCCAAGTGTTTAAACTGTTAAAAACAGTTCACAAAAGTGAGGCTGGGGGGCTGGGGATACGGCTCAAGCGGTAGCGTGCTCGCCTGGCATGCGTGCGACCCGGGTTCGATCCTCAGCACCACATACCAACAAAGATGTTGTGTCCGCTGAGAACTAACTAACTAAATAAATAAATAAAAGAAAAAAAAAAAAGTGAGGCTGGGGATGAAGCTTAGAGGCAGAGCACTTCCTAGCATATATAAGGCTGTGGGTTCTATCTTCTGCAACACACACACACACACACACACACACACACACACAAATCCCTAAAATGACTCTTTCAGTGGGTCTAGAGTTCCCAGAACTTTTCCCTAATACTGAAGCAATATTAATGTAAAGTGAAATGTTGATAAATCCAGGGTCATTTATACTGTATTGACACTAGTTCTGTTATTAAAACAAAAGTAATTTTGTTTTTCTGTAATCCTAAGGGTTACTGACTAAATGAAGAACTTGGAAGGTGTGCTCATTATGAATTTATGTTAACCTTAATACTGTGATACTAACAGAACAGATGGGCTACCAAGGTGGCTACATATAAAAAAGAAACTACCCAACATTCCTTAATAAAAATATAAATATGTATCTGTCATTACTAATTCCTATAAAGCCTTCTGTTTTTATTAACAGTTGTTTTTAAAATTATTTGAAAAATACTATAACAGGACCCAAGTTATTTTTCCACAAAAGAATGTAAGATCCCCAAATTTTCTTCTTTTGAAGAAAAGCACTATATAAAAATTAGTTTATGTTCAGTAACCCAGGATTGTTACACTGTTTTATGTATTTATATTGAATATAGACAGTGAATATACCAGTGTATTAATTAAAATAAAAACATTTTAGTAAATGAAATGTTTTGCTCTTTTCACTATTCATGGGTTCTTAAAGGCTGCAAAAAGATTCTAATATGCTCATAATCCCACCATTAATTTTGAATAGTTGTTCACAGTTTGCTAATTACTGTTATAAACATATCATTTGATACCTGAAAAAAAATCCCACAAAGTAAATGACAAGCAATCATCATTAGCTTCCAATATACCACCAAGGGAAGTATGAGGTTAAAACAATTTGCACAAGCTCATATTAATGAACTGCTTGAGGAAACAATCCAATTCTTCCAGACTATTACTTATAAAGTCAAAATACTTAAAGAAAATTTAACCTATGTTATGGTTCATATGGAATTTTACATGAATTAAAAGTATGAACAGGAAAATAAGAGACAACTATTTACTCTCTGACACATGGAAGGCTGCAAACAAATATGTCAGAGAACAGTCTTGGAGTAAATGCTTTCTGTTTCCTTGGACATACTGGGAGTTGCTTTTACTGATTTACACAAAAAAATAAAACTTCTTGTATAACAAAGATCAGTAAAATAAATGGAAAAGTTTCTAGACATTCAGTTGAAAGGTTCTACAAAAAGATAAAAGATATTTAGACAAATACATGTATCTTAGATTTTTTTTTTTTTTTTTTGGTCCTCACCCCAATGGCTAATTTACCTGTTGGCAGAATATAGTACAGATCCCTGGAAGGACTATGCTTCCAAAAGTTCTAGGACACCCTTTCTACGGGATGTATTCTTTAGAAAAGAATTCTTTTTTTTTTTTTTTAAACTGGGAATTACCCACCACTCTCGCCTTTCTTATATAAGAAAAGACCTATTTTTTTTTATTCCCCATCTTGAACCCACCATAGTTTAAAATTACATTCTAAGAGTCAGTAAAAACTATTCTTGTTTGTTTCCTAATGTCAACATTTCATTAAGAATCACTGAAGAATACTAAAAACAAAACAATTTAAAAAACTGGTTTCATAGATTTTTTTTAAAGTCTAAAGTTCTGTTATATTTGTATATACATAATACTGTTTTAATGAGCCTTTTGGGAGGGATCTTTAGTTTTCCTCATTATAAAATGTGTTAATTTTTAAGTTGATGATTTTTTAACAATAAATGAAATACTTCATGTATGTGAAATTAATAGTTTTACTCAAATGAAAATTAACTCAAGCATAACACTCCACAGGCCTGACTTAATAGAATAGCAAAAGAGGAGAGAGGAGGTGAGGAAATATGGAAGAGGAAGGGTCAATTAAAGAGGACTGTCTGTTATATCTGAACTTTCTCATTTACTAATATGGGCTAAGACAAAAGAATTTTTCAGAAAATATACTTCCAATGTGAAATAACATACTTAAAAAGTAATTCCGTATTTAAAAGAATACGGAATTGAACTAATGTGAAAAGATAACATTTCTATCATTTCATTGAAGACTTAAGTCATTCATGCGTATTAAAGAGGCAGAAACTATTTGGAAACATTAATTTTTTACTCTCAATAAAACTAACAATAATTTTTTATTGAAAATCACTTTTAAAGACTTCAAAAGATTTTAAAATTTCAACCTTCTCACTTTATCTCATAGAAAGACTGGAATGCTAATAAGGTTTGTTTATATAAATAAAGTTATGTGGTACATAAACCAAGAGTAAACCTTGAAATGACTAATCCAATAAGGTATAAACTAAAAAAATCCTTTCTTTTTTTTAAAAATATTTTTTGTTCTAAAGAAAATATTTTTTTTTCTTTTTTGTATGCATTTTATTAATATAATCAGAAAGTTCTGCTTATAATTATTTCTTTTTTTAAATTTTTTATTGTTGGCTGTTCAAAACATTACATAGTTCTTGATATATCATATTTCACAATTTGATTCAAGTGGGTTATGAGCTCCCATTTTTACCCCATATACAGATTGCAGAATCACATCAGTTACACATCCATTGATTTACATATTGCCATACTAGTGTCTGTTGTATTCTGCTGCCTTTCCTATCCTCTACTATCCCCCCTCCCCTCCCCTCCCCTCCCCTCCCCTCCCCTCTTCTCTCTCTGCTCCCTCTACTGACATTCGTTTGTCCCCCTTATATTATTTTTCCCCTTCCCCTCACTTCCTCTTGTATGTACTTTTGTATTACTCTGAGGGTCTCCTTCCATTTCCATGCATTTTCCCTTCTCTCTCCCTTTCCCTCCCACCTCTCAACCCTGTTTAATGTTAATCTTTAAAGAAAATATTTTTATGAGAAGCTAACCAAAACAGTATACTGAATTCCAAGAACATATTATAAATATTGAAAGTACCCAAGTAAAAAATATGTAAAACTTTCATTTAAATACTTATATATTGTTAGATGATATTAAATATAATTCTGTATTTTAGAAGCTATTATTTCTTAAATTATAAGTAACTATTTGGTAGTGCAATCTGAAAGAAATATCTTCCATTTTTAATAGTTATAAAATTTCCATTTATTTTTTTCCATTGATTATAAAAGTATTATTAATAACTAGGAAAGTACTTAAAGTCCTTATGAAATAATATGTTTTTTTTCTTATCACATATAAATTAACGCTAATTGAAATATATTCCTACAATGCTGACTCATGCAATAAGATTATTTTAAGGCCTCTTGGCCTTAGAAATTATATTAACAAATATCCTTTGGGATGGAATTCAAGGTGAACAGTCAATATAGATTATGTTAATACCACACAATATCATGCCTCACATTTTCCTTTTTGAGAGTCAGAAGTTATTCTATACTCTGAAAATACAATATTAAATATGAGAGAACTTATATATATATGTCACAGAAACTTCATTATCAACCTTCTTGTTCTCTTCTCCAATTTAATCTATATATAAGGAAATGTAAGAAAATTTCACTTATGACTTGCAAAACAGATGTTATATTGCATTCAAACTGAATCGGAATGAAAAACTACCCAAAATCTGAATATACAAAGGTCTTGCTAAGAATATGAGATACATTAATTATTTTATCAACAAATATATAATAAATTCCTACTATGTGATAAAATCTATGCTAGGTGTCATAGTTATAATGATGAACAAGCTAGACACAGTCTCTCTATGGAGCTTACAGTCTAGTAAATAGGCCACAAACAAAAGAAAATGATAATTACACATGATGACAACTAGTATAAAGTAAATAAATTGTTTTTCAAGGGAGAGATAAAACAAGATTCTTATTTGAAGAGACATTAAGAAAGGTATTCTTCAAATATTCAACTTGAAACCTTGGCTCATATAAGTCTGTTCACATAGGGTTTTGCAAGCCACATAACACTGATAATAATAGTGAATATTTATTGGTGGTTAAGGATAGCTATTACTGTTTTAAAGGAATTATCTCCTTTAACTTTGCCACTACGTAGTTTTTTTTTTTTTTCAGAAAGATTAGGCAACTTGTCCAAGATTCCACAGTTAGAAAAAAGTGAAATCAGGATTTAATTCCAGAAAACATGACTGCAGAGCCTGCTGGCTAAGGTAATGGGGGAATCACTTCAGTGATTTAAGTGAGAATTGACAAGATTACTTTTACCTTTAAGACTGGCTGGAAGCTGCATGCAATTGAAAGGAAGCAAACTGGAAGCTTAGTTGGGAAGCCAGCAGGTTCAAGTGTGGGCAAGAGATAAAGGAGTCTGGATTACTTTAACAGGTAAAGGTAAATAGATTAAAAAAAGATTTTAGAGATAGATCAATAAGACTTTCTAATGGACTGATGATAGGAATTAATCAGTATGAATTTTAGATCATGGCTTGTTCAACCATGTATGAAGGCAGTTAAGTCATTTAATAAGAAGGGGTG